TTCCATGGTGTCAAAATCCCCCATAGTTGAATTCAAACTACCAACACGAGATCACTGAACATGTAGTCAGGAGGAGATGCACATAACATGAGGGATCATCACTCCCTCCTTACCCTCTTTCCATCTCCAACAACAGCTCTTGTTCCCCACAGGCAGCCTCCAGCTCATTCCTCCAAGGGTCCCTCCCTGGCCACCTACTCCCTTGGACTGCAAGGGCTGATGTGGTCTTTAGCACCACCACCACTGGAGAATCTCATTGCTCTAATTCTGAACCACATACCACCTACCAAGGAGTCAGTGCCACTGTCCCAACAGCCACTCAGAGAGAGGCCTAGTCCCCTAGACTGGCAGTGGGAGTGATATAAAAGGAGAGAAGCAGCAATTGAGAAGCAAGCAACTGAAAGAAAAAAATAATCCCATCAAAAAGTGGACACAGGACGGAATAGACAATTCTCAAAAGAAGATACACAAACGACCAACAAACATGAAAAAATGCTCAACATCACTAATTATCAGGGAAGTACAAAACCATAATGAGGTATCATCTCACTCCTGTGAGAATGGCCATAATCAAAAATCAAAAACAGATGTTGACGTGGATACATTACACTGCTGCTGGCAATGTAGACTAGTACAACCACTATGGAAAACAGTATGGAGATTTCTTTGTTTTTTTGGGAGATTTCTTGAAGTACTAAAAGTAGAACTACCGTTTGATCCAGTAATCCCACTACCTGGTATCTACTCAGAGGAAACGAAGCCATTGTACGAAAAAGACACTTGCACACCTGTGTTTATAGCAGCACAATTTGCAATTGCAGAAATACAGAACCAACATAAATGCCCATCAACCAACGAATGGATAAAGAAAATGTGGTATATATACAGCATGGAATACTAGTCAGCCATAAACAGGAACAAAATAACAGCATTCACAGCAGCCTGGATAGAGGTGAAGATGAGTATTCTAAGTGAAGTAACTCAGGAATGAAAAACCATATATTATATGTTGTCACTTACAAGCAGGAGGTCAGCCATGATAATGCAAAGGCATAAGAATGATATAATGGACTTTGGGGACTCAGGGAGAAGGGTGGGGGGCAGTAAGTGATAAAAGACTACACATTGGGTACAGTGTACACTGCTCAGGTGACAGCTGCACCAAAATCTCAGAAATCACCAGTAAAGAACTTTTCCATGCAACCAAACATCACTTGCTCCCCTAAAATTAAAATTAAAATTAAAAAATAAGAAATGAACAGCTGATACCAACATAGGATGGCTTTGAAACCCTGAAAATTGCAGAATTGCCAAAGCTAGCAATATCTAACTTGCTGAGGGTACAAAATGCTAGTATTTCCAAAATGAGCAGAGAAGCATCTGAAAAGTATCTCTTTTCCACACTGAGACATTTATGGAAAAAACGAGATATGACACACAAATGAGGGGAACCCATTTAGAATCTGCTCTGCTTCCTCTTAGGTATGATGCTGGCCAAGCTGCTTAACCTCAGCTTCCTCATCTGTAAAGTGGGAACAACACATAGAACTGCTGTAAAGATCAAAGATAATTTTTAACCATAATGGTGGTTAACTTCATCATTACCTCTTTATTATTTTCATAGGCAGATTCTCAAAACACAGGCACCGCAGAGATGCCCAATGTGAGAAGGCTTGGCTGGCTATTTCTTCAATAGTGCCTCCAGGGGAAAGGTAGGAGGTGGGAGGATCCTCAGAACATTAATCTGATGCCTTCCCTTTACATAGCCTGAGCCCAAATTGGCCCCTCAGCTCTCTAGCCCCCTGCCTTGCAGGCAACACCCAGCTTCACACTGGTTCCACCATTCAAGATGCTCAACAGCCCTTTTTCTCCATTCTCCCCTACCTAGAAAACTCCTCTTTATCCTTTGGAGTTCCATTCACATGTCACCTCCTTGTGGTGGTGATGGGGTATCTGGTTAACTTCTAGAATTTTTAAAGTGTCTACTACATGAGAAGCACTGTGCCAGGCCTCAACACTTAAAAAAGCAATCACAAGAGAGCCTGCCAGAAGCAACCTAAGTGTCCATCAACAGATGAATGGATTAAAAAATGGTAAATATACACAATGGTAAATATACACAATGGAGTACTACTCAGCCATAAAAAAGAATGAGAGCCAGTCATTTCCAGCAACATGAACGGAACTAGAGATCATAATGTTAAATGAAATAACTAGGCATAGAAAGACAAACTTCATATGTTCTCACTTACTTGTGGGAGCTAACAATTAACATAATTGAACTCATCGAGATAGAGAATAGAAGGGCGGTTACTGCAGGGTGGGAAGGGTAGTGGTGGGGAGGGAGGGGAGTAGGGATGGTTAACGGGTACAAAAAATAGAAAGAATGAATAATACCTAGTATTTGCTAGTGCAACAGGGTAACTATAGTCAAAAATAATGTAACCGTACATTTTAAAATAAATAAAACAGTATAATTGAATTGTTTGCAACACAAAGGACAAATGCTTGAGGGGACAGATACCCCATTTACCTTGATGTGATTATTATGCATTGCATGCCTGTATCAAAATGTCATGTACCCACAAAAAATAAAAACTAAAAAAAAAGAGTGCCTGCCATCAGGTGCTCACTGTGTCATAGAGGTAGGGAGCAGGAAAGCATTTGCCATTGAGAGAAAAATGGTCATTTCAAGAAAATGAGATACGCTCTTTGATAAAGGCATGCCTAGAGAAACTCCAACTCCTTTTCCTCCTCAGCATACCGCTCAACTGTATTTCCTGGTCTTCCCTACAGCTAGATGAGTCACAAAACTGAGTCTTGAACTCCTGGCCTCAAGTGATCCACCCGCCTAGACCTCCCAAAGTGCTGGAATTACAGGTGTCAACCACTGCACCTGGCCGATTTCTGTCTTTATTTTTAAATGAAGCTTTATATGTACATAACAGCTGAGGTGGTTTTTCCATCTATGTTTTTTCTACTGTTGTTCACTATGTTTACATTTGTCCAAGTTATTGTTCTTTAGACAAGAATCAGAGTAAAATCTCCCTCCAATCATGGTCTTTTCCATTGTTATGAAAGTTCCTGCAATTACCAAGTAAAATCATCAGGAGAGAGATGCTTTTTCTTATACAGTGAGCCAAGTCCCAGTCTATCCCGATTGTAAATTAGGCGGTTTTGGAAGTAAAATTAATCAGTGTTCAGAAGTACCTACTCTTTTAACACAGATACTAGAAGAAACTGACTCACGAGGTGAAGTATGAATCTATAGCAGGCCAAACTCCACCTTTCCATGGAAATTACCACCAAAATTTAAAATGTGCTCCGTAACTCAATGGCATATGAGTAGAAAATCATTTGGGTCATATTTTACAGTATTTGAGAGCTAGGAAGTACAAAGAAATTTTCTAATACAGTGATCCCCTCCTGCCCCCCTAAGAAAAGTTAGTCAGAAGATTCTCCTGGCCAGGCACGGTGGCTCATGCCTGTAATCCCAGCACTTTGGGAGACCGAGGCGGGTGGATCACCTGAGATCAGGAGTTCAAGACCAGCCTAACCAACATGGAGAAAACCCGTCTCCACTAAAAATACAAAAAAAAAACGAGCCATGTGTGGTGTCGCTTGCCTGTAATCCCAACTACTTGGGAGGCTGAAGCAGGAGAATCCCTTGAACCCGGGAGGTGTAGGTTGCAGTGAGCCAAGATTGTGCCATTGCACTCCAGCCTGGGTAACAAGAGGGAAACTCTGACCCCCCCCCTAAAAAAAAAGATCCTCCTGAGGTGCTTAAAATATAGATTACTTCCAGTCAGATGAAGTTAAAAAAAAAAAAAAAGGTAAAATACAGATTACTTGGCCTCCCCTCCAGCTCTACTGTATCAGACTCAACAGAGGAGGGCTTTGGAATCTGTATTTTTAGCAAGCACCCAAGGTGATGCTGCTGACATTCCTGGCCCATGGAGCACCTGTCAAATAGCAAGGCTCTACCCTACAATATAATTACTTACCTCTAGATTCCATTTTCATCTAGAAAATTTTCAAAGAATCCTGGCTTATCTCTAAATGATAGAATTTTAAGTAAATTAATTGTTTCTCTTCTCCCTTTTCTGTATGTTTTCCTCAATGAACACAGATTACTTTTCTCATCAGAAGGTATCTTAAAAAGCAGCGCTTCTCGAGTGTCTTAGGGTTTCTGGAGGGGCATTTTATTCCTAGGATTGTTTTAAGTGTCTTTTTTTAAAAACATAACTTCCGGCAACATAGCCTCGTCTGAGTCCAAATAAGAAAATATGATTTTAATCATGGCCCAGCAATTAACTCCGTAAACTGTTTTGTAAACTCGTTGATTCATATTGTAAACTCTGTGATTCGTTTTCTGTAGTCAAAGCTGAATGCCTTAATGAACCTGTAAAATTCTCCTTCCTGGACATCGTTAAGAATTTTTTTTTTTTTTTGGTAGTACTAAACTAGCAAAGCAACAAATTCTAAAACGTTCTTTAAAATAAGAAAAAAAACGACAGTTCCTAAAGTTGTTTTATCAGTGCAATTTTTCTACGGCTCTCAAAGTGGTCTTATGTCTTTTCAATGTAGATACTTTAGTTTATTGCCAGAAAGTGACTTAGTGGTTAAAAAGGAACCAGGAAAAAAAAAGCAGCAAAAGATTGAGAATGAACTGGGGAAAAAAAAGTTGTTCACATAGAAATTTCAGAAAATAACATCGTTATATAACTAGTTCCCCAAGCTCATAAACAATTTAGGATCTCAAAGAGAACAACATGGAGAAAGACCACAAATAAAGGGCAAAAATATATGTTATCATCACAGCGTAAATTACACAAGACAATGGTTTTGGCCAATTCATCACAAAGGATATCAGGATTTTCCCTACGACGCTTTTGATGTAGCATTCTTTAAAAACAGTTTCCAAAGGATGTGAGAACGGAGGCCCTTGTAATTTAAAGAAAACATAAAAGTCACAGTAAAATTCACATGAAAGTTCTTACTTCTTCCTCTCGGACCCTAATATCCTAAACAAATCTTTAAAGTACTGAGGGACGCGAACCACCACGTTCTCTGAGGGGCCGATGTCTTTCAGGTGGGGGTAGAGTCTCGTGTCAATGACCTTCTTGATGTAGCCCAGCCAGTCGAACTGAGGGGAGAGAGAACAAAACAGAATGAGAGAACATCTGTTAGGTAGCAAGTAAGAAAGGCAGATAGAGTAGATTGAGTATCGTTCATTTCTTGTGATTTCACACTCAATAAGTCATGATGCAACTATTCAAGTCTACAAAATAAACTCTTGATCATTGCCATCCAGACCTATAGTCTTTTTTTTTTTTTTTTTTTTTTTNCTCGCTCTGTCACCCAGGCTGGAGTGCAGTGGCGTGATCTCAGCTCACTGCAACCTCCACCTCCCCGGTTCAAGTGATTCTCCTGCCTCAGCCTCCTGAGTAGCTGGAATTACAGACACCCACCACTACACCCCGCTAATTTTTTTTGTATTTTTAGTAGAGACGGAATTTCACGATGTTGGCCAGGCTGGTCTTGAACTCCTGACTTCAAGTGATCCACCCACCTTGGCCTCCCAAAGTGTTGAGATTACAGGTGTGAGCCACTGTGCCCGGCCAGACCCATTGTCCTAATCACAAATGGAAACATGTGTTGCGTACCATCTGCATCTGGATAGCACTCATCCACACACTAAGACAGTAATATGTACTCTCACTCCCTCAGCCCCTTCCAGCACTCTACCTCCTTCCTGAACTCTCCCCTCTGTCTTTCTCTCTCCGTTCTGCTCTCTCTTCCCTTCCTATACTGTTCCTCTGTTCTATACTCTTCATCTTTCTTCCTCCCATACTCTCCCCTTTCCTCCCTCCCATATTGTTCCCTCTTTCTCTCCTGCATTTCCCTCCCTCCTTCTGAATTCTTCCTCTATACTGTACATTTTCTCTCGCCCTCCCTCCCTCTCTCTGTCCTGTACTCTCCCTCATTTTACATTCTACATACATACAGAAACAGATACCCCAGTATATAACTAGTCTCTCTGACACAGACTTAAAAAAACAGGTGTTTTTTAGATTGGCTACCCTAAAAGTCATTTCCCAACCTTTTCTCCCTTGCCTGTGTCCACTGTTAAAATGGAAAGCCAGTTACTCACTTGCCCAACCTCCCCTGTGTTAGGGGTGGCCATGTGACCCAATCCTACTCAATAAGAAATAAAGGGAAGACATCTGGAGATGTTCTGGAAACACTTCTTTGTTTTTCCTAGTAAAATACTTAGACACGTCACTGGCACTTTCCCCTTCCTCCTGCTCTGACAGCAGATGTGATAGATGGAGCTGTGATGGATACCTTGCAACCATGAGTCATCAGACATGAAGTCAAAAAGCCAACACACTAAACAGTATAAGATGGAAAGATAGAAAGAACTGTGGCTTTGACAACACTATTAAACAGCTGAGCCAGTGCCAACAACTGCCTATATCTGGACATTTGTCATATGAGAAATAGACTTTCAGTTTCTAAGCCACTGTTGGAAAAATGTTCTGTTCCCTGTAACAGAAGGTATCCCAATACACAGACAAGGGATATTTTATGTGATTGTTGACAAAGATGATGATAACCACAAAGACTGAGAGTAGGTTTCACGAGACAGTAATTTACACACAGATGAAATCCAATCCCTTCTAAAATGACCAGTTGAGAGCAAGTGTTCTGGATAGCTTTCACCAACCTGGGGAATCATAGCACTCAGTTCAGAAATGTTCATTTTGTTGTACATGGCCTCACTAGTTCGGTTTTCATGTGGAATCATTATCTGTTGGAAAGAGATTTGGGTTATTTTTTTTTCAAGTGAACCATTTCTTACAGTATGACTACTTCCTACATGTGCCAAAACATCTGCATAGTATTATAAAGCTTTTCAAGACTTTGGTGTGGTGCCCAACTTGGGGGGAGAGAAAAAAAGACATCCCTTTAGGCAGGACTAAGAAAATTAACTTTCATATCCTCCTCTGTGTGAAATATTGTCCCCAGTACAAAAAGAACTACCCAAAATCTCCCTACCAAGCTATAATGTGGATGGGCAAAATCTATTTCTGGCTCAATTTTGACCATCAAACTTAAGTTGGACAATTGAGGTAAACATCCCACTGTCAGCTGTGGCCTCCAGATAATGATCTCAATATTTCATGAACCACAGACCATCCCTCCATCTCTAGGGGCAAATTTTCACTGATGAACACAAGACTATCTGGATGCCACAGCTCCCCGTGATCATTTTGTCAACAGCTCATTCCCTCATTTCTTTCCCCCTGTTGTTTCTTTGGCCTTGCGATTCCTCTAGCCCCATTGCTGGGGGTATGGATTCAGTTACCGCCTAGACAAACATTTCAAAATCTGCCTCTCTCTAGCCCTGACTTTATACGCTTTCCATTCCCAATACTCACGCTCTTGGCCATTTGACCAACACCAAATCTCAGCTTCTAGCCTTCACTATGTTAACCTAAGAACAGCAGCAATGACTATCTTCCTGAAGGATCATCTTAATCACTTCCACTGACCAGCAGTAGCTCTCATATCTTCCCCTCAATCACGTCATGACTTTGCCTTCGGGCCTTTCATCATCTAATTCCCTTGCATTAAACTTGCCACCTTCCCACTGCACACAGGAGTCTCCTACTCTTGCACCTCCTACCCACCATCACCATCTCCATGGTTTGAACTATGACTCAAGACTGCCCAAGATTCACTGCCTCTAGCAAGCCTTTCCAATTAAACTCCACTTGATTCCAATCACAAGGGCTACTCCATCAATAAGACCTCTCCTTGTGCTCACATCTCTCTTGCTGGGATTGGTTAAGTATACGCTTCTCTGGGTATATTTGCAAGGACTTATTTGTGCTGGACTGGGCTGTCTTGTCTTCCCAGCCTCAGAAGTCTCCCTTGCACTATGTATCCCACTATTTTTTAATGTACCTAGTTACATGTAGTTTAAGATACGGAGGTGAGCATTACTAGCAGTGATTTTTCAAGGTAAACATTACAGAGGGCTAACTGGCAGATGCCTGCTCCCTCTTTGCTAAATGTGTCAGTGCCCTTAGCTTCCCTTTGCTCACCTTCCACAGGAGAGACCACACGTAACTTGTAAACAGCCTCCTGGCTCTGTGTGAATCACTGCCTCAGAGAATATCCACACTCCTCTTCACCAACCCCTCTTCTGACCTTGCAGCCTCACAGCCCAAAGCTGGAGCCCTTTGGCCTCAGAGCTGTTTTCAGCTCTGTGCCAGCCACTCCCCATCACACAATAGATTTGTCACTTCATTTTGCCTCTTGACAATTCCCAGTCTTGCCTCAACCGAGCTGTTTTTAGTTCCCTTTTTGGTCCAAATCTCTGGCTCAGGGCAAGGCCTTTCCTGCTGTTTCAGACTTTTGGTCAAAATGAGAATCCTGGGCCTCCTATTTGCCTGGAAAGAGAATTCAGACAGATTCTAGACATGGCTCAGAGGCACAGCCCTGGACTTCAAAACATCTGCAGCAGTCTTCACAGTCTTCAAAGGTGACATGCAGGAATGAACTTTTTGCACTGCAAGGAGTTTGGAGAGAGGTATACACGAACATCATCACAGCAAAGAGAGGGACCAATTCCTCCTGCCCCTTATCCTTCATCCCTACCCCATACCTCATCAGTGCACCACCACCTAACCAAACACAAAACCGATCAATACTTGGACTTTTACTCAGTTTCAGATTTTTACCAACTTCTCTTGTAAAAGATTCCCAACATATATGCAAAAGTTTCTTGGTACAAAGTATCATTTTTTTTCACTACAGGGTTTCCCCAGAAGCAGATTTTACCACATTTGTTCCCTCTTGGCCTAGGAACATATAGAGAGATTTCTACATTTTGTTTCTTCTAGAAAAAAAGTTACTACATAAACAAAGCTAACCATTTAGGAGTTCCCATTATTTGCCCACATGTTTGTTTTTACATCTTTTTGTCTCTACAATGAGCCAAAAAGAAGTTAAGATGATTTACACAGACATGTAGTTGTGTGTCATGTATATGACACAATTATATGCATTAAAGTAGGGCAAGAAAAGAATGAAAAACAGGGGCAGGTACAAAGTAATACCAGAAAGGTCATTTATAAATGCTTACCAGCATGCCCTACCTACTTCTATATCAACTTTTATATCCAGTATTGGCAAACAGGCTTCCCTGAGCCCAGAACTTAAGCCAGAGTGACTCTGAATGGGGATAGCATAAAACATGGGCTGGATTTAGCAAACTTCCATTCAAGCCACATGACTAAGGATTTATTAAACATGTATCTTCTATTTAAGCCAAACATGAGTTTCTTCAAGAAAAATGGTCAGAGGGTCTCTCTGCTGCTATTCTTTGGCCTCAGTTGAGCAACATATGGACACTGAATGGGCTTAAACCAGGGAGGTGGAAGGAATGAAGAGCTCTCCTGTCACAGTCCTTCTTGTTACTTCCTAGAGGGGATGCTATTAGTCCTACCTTGAACTCAAAGGGCAATGACACGAAATGCTATTATTTTGTTGCAATTTATATTTTCATTCAGGACATACTGCCTTTAAAATAAGGGGGGGAAATGAAGTAAAGAAAGATTTTCAGTGAAGACTTACCTCAGCTATCTTAATTTCCAATCTAAGCACTGACTTCATGTCATGCTCTGCTCTGGAACTGTTAGCTCCTAAAAGCACAGCAGTATCCACCATGAACTTGTAAAGGGCATCCCGATACTGTAGGAAATAAAGAAGAAAGTGACCATGACCATAGCCTATTAGGAAATATGT